TCCTGTGCAAATGCCTAGAAAGGAACTGGTGTGATTTTTAGGCTTAGCAGATTGTTACAGCTTTTTGTCTGTTGTGGTTTTTTAGCTAATCTTTAGAGAAAACCTCTCTGTGGTGGAGTCCCGGCTGTCGGGCTGCTTTCACCTCTTGTGAAGGAATAAAGAGCACGAAGAAGAAGAAGCTGCTTGTGTTGGAGGCAGAGAGAAACTTTGTGGGTTGAAGCATCCACACGTAGGCTGTGTCACTGTGGAAATTCTAACAACAAGAACAGGAAGTCTGTGTTTCCCGGCACTTCTGGAAATTCCACAGAGTGTGAGCGCTTTGATAGGAGCACCTCTTCAAGGCCAAAACATAAAGAGCGCAGTCATGCCATCATAGGTTATCTCATGGGAGTAGAGGCATGTAGGTCAGGTAGTCCACACCTCCAAACATCCAGCTCGCTCCTCTTTTTGCTTTAGCTTTGCTCCTCTTCCTCACTTCTCTTCAGTTCATCTCCTTTGACTGATTGATGCACACAGACTCGGTCGGGCGGTGCAGGGCGACGCTACATGATGATTGTGCTCTCATGTGTCAGTCTGTGTACGCTCCTGCATTTCCTCTTTTCTCCGCAGTAACAGTTGAACCTGTTGTTTCCGCTGCTGCTCGGTGTAACCTTTAAATAAACACGTTCATAACTGAGCCGCTGCAGTTTGGGGTTTGTTGCCATGTTTGGATCCGTGCGTCACACCTGCTGCCTTCGTCCCTGAGAAAAGGCTCTGACGCTGATCTTTGCTCAGCTTTTACACTTTCTGTATCGCTCACAGACTTCATCTCTTTTGCTTTTGTGCTCAGTTTGAGTTACAGCTTCAGTGCTGCAGCTCGGCTGACTGATGTTCCCACACTTCAGACCTTTTGCGTCTTCTGACGTGTTTATAGCAAACAGCAAAAGGTCGAAGCTGCTGAACGTACAGAGTTAGCACAACAAACAGGATTTCACCTTAAACACGTTTGCTCTGCTCGTCCTGTGAACACATCTTTTAATGACTCGCACGCAGTCGACCTGCTGACGTTCTCCAGAAGATCCCAGTGATGTGAAAACATTTCTGAAGGATTATAAGGAATAAAAAGACAAAATAACCCTTAAATTAAAACAAGCAAAATCTGAATTTAACCATAAAATAACTAGAAATGATGCAGGACGGCGTCATTGAAATTGATACCAATGATCAGTTTTTTCTTCTAATACACTTAAACAACCACATGAAACAAATATGATCTGAAGGTCGTATACTGGGGGTTTTCCAGTATTTCCAAAAATATAAAATGCATCACAGAAAAAGAAGTTTAAAGAGAAGTAAGAAGAAGTAGCTAAATGAAGAAATCCTCAAATAAGCAGGCGTCTGCACAGTCAGCAGAACTGATGTTCGTGTTTCTTTGCTCTGAGGCGTCTTCTGCAGTTTGA